GTAAAAAGAGAAAACTAGGATTTTCATAATTGTATATATTTATTGGCAAGCAAATAAAAATTTTCAAGGTTTCAATGGGATGCTTTTCTTAAAATATAATAAGCATATCAGTTCAGTTAGACTATTTTAAATAAAGAAAAAATAATCTAAGGTCACAATTATAATTACTTTAGAAAATAGCTGTTTTTAATTGTTTAATCAGTGATAATATGTTAGTGTATCTAAACTTCATCCTTTCTATAAAATATAATTTGTACTCTTCAAGTTATGTTAATTATATAAATCAAAGACATCCTATAAATCCCTTCTTCTTGAGTATGGGCAGGACTTGTGACTATGATGGGAAATCTCCTGCGATTAGGTTACATAATAAAGCAAAGATGAATGGATCCTGAAGATGTAATGAAGGTCCCTAGTCAGTTGGCTTTTAGTTAATCAAAAGGGAGATTATCCTGGGGGCAGGAGCTGACTTGATCAGGGAAGCCCTTTAGAGGAAGGCCTCAATATCAGAGACAGAAATCAGAGACAGATACACTAGGAGGAGACAAGATGTATTGCTGTTGTGGAGTGGACCTCAGGAAGGAATGGCAAGCAGTCTGCAGGAGCTGAGGACCTCAGTCAATCCTACAACCACAAGTAACTGAATTCTGCCAATAACCAATAGCTTGCTTGAGGACCCTGATCCGAAGATGAGACTGCAATCTGGTTGACACCTAGATTGAAGCCTTGTTAGGCGGTAAGCATAGGGCTAAGCTAAGCTGTGTCCAGACTCCTCAGTCATGAAAACTGTGAGATAATAAATGCTTTAAAGTCACTAAATTTGTTTGCTATGCAGAAATAAAAAACTTGTAACAAAAGTATTAATTGCATCCGATACTTATTCATTGGATTCCTTAGGGAGAATAACTAATTAAGATATTAACTAAATATGTTTTTAAAAATAGTAAAGAGTTGGGGTGACCAGGTTGGCAGGGGAGGGCAGTTGAGGGTAACTGGGCCAGCAGGGGAGTGCAGATGGGGGGCAATCGGGCTGGCAGAGGAGGGCACTTAGGGGCAATCAGGCTGCAGGGGAGCAGTTAGGCATCAATCAGGCTGGCAGGGGAGTGGTTAAGGGGTGATCAGGCTGGCAGACATGCAAGCAGTGGGGAGCCAACAGTCCCAGATTGTGAGAGGGATGTCTGATTGCCGGTTAAGGACTGATCCCCACAGGAATCGTGCAACTGGCAGTCGAACACCCACTGAGGAGTCCCAGATTGGAGAGGGTGCAGGCTGGGCTGAGGGACACCCCTCCCCCAAGTGCACCAATTTCGTGCACTGGGCCTCTAGTTTTGATATAATGGAATATAGAAAACAAAATTATATTGGGCACGTTTATAAAATTACAATGAATTTTAAAAGACAAAAATTCAATTTATAGCTGTCATCATGATTTTATCATCGTATCTGTTAATGAGATGAAAATTCATTACACACACACACACACACACACACACACATACATATACATGAGGTAATATGCAAATTAGCCAGAACACCGTAACAGTCATAACCGGTCAGGAGGAGGATGTGCACACAGGTGAGCCCTGGAGTGGAGACAGAGACAGAAACAGGGGGGCCTTCCCAAGCTGCCGCGGCTGAGCACAGGCCCAGAGAGGAGAGGCCCACTGTGGCCAAGCACAGGGCAGGTGGGGAGAGGGGAGAAGAACTGCTCACAGCCACCACGGCTGAGGGCAGGCCCTTGCCAGCAGTCCCGCCTCTGGTGTGAGAGCTGCAGAGGAAACACTTTTCTGACTGCTCACTGGCTAAGCCCCAGTACACCATTCGCAGTGTTCTTGGTAACTTGCCTAATAAGAATCCAAGAAGGTGATTTAGAGTATTTCCACCTCATTCCTGGAGGAAAAAAAGAAGGTCCACTACTGGAGAGTCTAAGAAATGTCATATCCTGCCCTAGCTGCTTTGGCTCAGTGGATAGAGCCTCGGCCTGCCGACTGCAGAGTCCGGGTTCAATTCTGGTCAAGGACACATACCTAGGGTGCAGGCTCCTCCCTGGCCAGAGCCCAGGTCAGGGCTCATGCAGGAGGCAACCAATCAAAGTGTCCCTCTCACATTGATGTTTCTCTCTGTCTTTCCTTATCTCTTCCATGTTCTCTAAAAGTCAGTGGAAACATATCCTCAAGTGAGGAAATAAATGAAGGAAGGAAGGAAGGAAGGAAGGAAGGAAGGAAGGAAGGAAGGAAGGAAGGAAGGAAGGAAGGAAGGAAGGAAGGAAGATCTTGAAAATGCCTAAAGAAAGTTGTCGTTCTTTCATGGTGAAGGAAGGGACTAGAGTACGTGTTGATGAAAACACCTTCGTGGCTGCAGAGGCTGGCAGTGACAGCAGCAGCAGGATGATGGGGGCAGCATCTTCCCCTGATCAGCCAGGTTGCCTCCTGGAGAGGGAGGCCAGACTGTGGCTTAGGCCTGTACACCAGCCAAAGGTAGGACAGTAGGGATTCCAGACTATGAGAGGGGTAGGCTGGGCTGAGGGATGTCCCCCACCTCAGTGCACAAATTTCTTGCACTGGGCCTTCAGTAAATTATATTAACAAGTCTTTACTACTTATATAAAGCATTTTTTAAAAAACATTTATAAGGTATTTTCAGTGACATTTCAAAAACTTTTCTGAAAGCCTTTTGTCTTAGTAACTAAGATGATAAAGTTGTAATGGAAAGAAAGTGAAGTTAATTACTACCAAGATCTTAATATTCAAAGCAACACCACAGGTCAAATGTCTAATATTCATTAGGGATGTTTTCTTTCTAAATGTAATGAACTCTAAATTACTCTGACTTGTGGAAGGAATGTGTATTTGTCTAGTTGTTTTTAATTACTGATTGTTTACTTTAGTCACGTGTAGCTAATCCTCAAGTCCACTCATACAAATTAGAGATCAGCGCTCTTTGACACTCATTTTTCTTACAACTTTGTACAAATCACAATCTATTTGGCTGCCTTCAGTGGTGGAGAACAGACAAAGAATTTAGTACAGGCAAACAGTGAATGAGTTGTATTCCAAATGTGCTATCACCAGTTTTATGGAAATCAGAAAATATATTTTTGAAATAAAGTTATATTGTTAATTATCAGAATTCACAAGGGCCTATAAATCCTTAATGTTGCTGAACTATCTGAACTAAACATGGACCCTCAGGTTAGATGACCACATATAAGAAAGTCTTTTCTTGATTCTGAGGAGAAGGAAGTTAAGTAGTCAGGAATCAGGACCATGGGGGAAGGAGGAAAGGAAGTAGAGCCAGGAGCCCAACTAATTGGAGTTACTAGGGCACCCCAACTCGGGGGTGGGGGGTGGGGAAGGAAGCGTGTATAAGGGAGACATGAGCTTTAAATGTATGAGTGTATCAGGCAACTTGCAGATAACCAGTCATAAGACAGTTATTAAGACATATAATCAATCCCAAGAATGTTATTAAGACAGAATTCTTTGAAAGGACCAATCAGGAGCTAGCAAGGCATGTATCTACCCCTAGATTAAAAGGCACATGCTTCCTCTCTTCTCTCTGGCACGCAGTGGGTTCCTGATGTTCCTGTGGTGGGGAAGCACATCCCCTGTGCCCACGTGGCTTATGGCCATGTGGGACTCTACACCTGGACCAATAGACTTGAACATCCATGGAAAGGAAGCGCTGGACACTTGCCTGCTCTGGAAACCTTTTCTAGGCCTGGCTTCTCTTAATAAACTTTACTTCCACTAACCATTTTTGTCCATGAATCTATTCTTCAGTTTTGCGAGACAATGAACTCAGGCTCAAACACACCACATTTTGGTTTCAATTCAAATGTCTTTGCCACTTACAAGATAAAAGATTTTAGGCAAGTTACTTAAACCCCTCTGAATCTCGATTTATCCAAGAATAAAATAGGAGTGATAGGTTTTTCAATGGCACTAATTATTTCTCATGATGATTTTGATTAACTGTGAAATATGAAGCATGTACCTGTTTATAGGTATACAATAAATAAAAAAGAAGATGAATTTCAGAAACATTTAAGAAACAGAATAAAAAGGAATTAAAACCCAATTATATGTGAACTTGAGGCCCAGTGCCACAAAATTCATGCACGGGAGAGAGGGGCCCCTCAGCCTGACCTGCACTCTCTTGCAATTTGGGGCCCCTCAGGGGATGTCCGACTGCCAGTTTATAGGCCTAAACTGGCGATCGGACATCCCTCTCGAAATCCGGGACACTGCATGCACCAGTGACCATACTTTTCGCTGTTGTATGGGCGGCAACATTTTTTTGCCCTGATTATAAAAAGTAGTACATTACATGATCTTTCTGAGGCAGTAGTACCATTTTCCCCATCTTATAGGTAGAAAAACTGAAGCAGAGAGAAGTTAAGTAACTGGCTTTGTCACAAAGTTATAAGTATCAAAATCAGGGCTGACCATAAAATGTGCAAGCCAGAGTCCATGCATGTCATCGCTGCATCATCCTGTTTTTTCAGTGTTAAGAGTTTTGCCAGGTTTTAATTTTTAAATCCAAGAGACTGTTCCCAATATATAGGTAGGGTCCCGAAGCCTGGCCAGCGACTAGGGCCTATCTGTGAGGAGACCAGCTAGGCAATCGGGCCCCCGCTGGCACCCACCTTGGCTGGCCGGCCTAGCACCACCCACTCGCCAGCCCTGGCCCTGCCTACCACCGGCTGGTCCTTCCACAGGTGCTCTACTGTTCAGTTGATTTGCATATTTAGGGTTTTATGTAGCTAGATATTATGAGAGAGAGAAAAGAAGAGATGAAAAGAATAAAGGTTCTCTTAAAACATAATAAGAGAACCCTTAGGAAAGGGTTAAATTCTGCTTTAGATAATGTGTTGAAGACCTAAGTGCAGGCAATGAAATGTTGTTTTGCAACCCAAGAAGGAGATGCGAATATTTGAGGCCACCAATATGTAAGTGAAACTGAAAACTATCGATATACTAATAAAAGGGTAATATGCTAATTAGACCAGATGTCTTCTGGACAAAGCCACTGTGGTGGCCGCCGAGGCAGAGGCAATTAGGGGGCGATCAGGCTGGCAAGCAGGGGCCAGCAGGGGCAATCAGCATGGCAGGCAGAGTGGTTAGGGGCAATCAGGAAGGCAGGCAGGTGAAAGGTTAGGAGCCAGTGGTCCTGGATTGTGAGAGGGATGTCTGACTGCTGCTTTAGTGGCAGTTGGACATCCCCCAAGGGGTCCCTGATTGGAGAGAGAGTGCAGGCCGGGCTGAGGGGCATCCCCCTGTGCACGAATTTCATGCATTGGGCCTCTAGTTATGGTAGATATAACAGTAGGAAGTGAATGTTCAGTAAGAATTTGTATAAGAGACAGATCATAAAGATGGGTCTAGGAGGAGATCAGCAAAGGTTTTTCAAAGGGAGAAATCAGAGATATGGGTATAAAATCAGTATATGGTGGTGGTCCAAGAACAAACAAACAAAAAAAAAAAGAGAAAAGAAAAAAAACAACAACAAAATGAGTTTTTAGAGAGATTAATGGAGTTCAATACCACAAAGAAGTCAAAGATTTGGATGATATGAAAACTGGGAAATTTTAGTAAACTTTGCAAGAACAGTTACAGAGCAGTTGCTGGGATACAGACTATAATAAAGTAGACTGAGGGTAGGAAAAAGGCAGTAAAATGAATAAAGCTAGTTTACTCTTTTTATTGTGGTAAAATATACATAACATAAAATTTACCATACTGATCATTTTAACCGCACAGTTCAATGCCTTTAAGTACATTCATACTGTTGTGCAACCATCACCACCATCCATCTCCAGAACGTTGTCATCACCCCAAACTGCAACTATACCCATTAGACAAAAACTCCCCAGTCTCTCCTCCCTCAGCTCCTGATAATCATTATATTCTATTTACTGTGTCTATGAATCTGACTAATTTAAGTGGAATCATATAATATTTGTACTTTTGTATTTGCCTTACTTGACTTAGCACAACATCTTAAAATTCAAGCACATGTCAGCATATCCCTTCTTTTTAAGGCTGAAAAATATACTGACTGTATATACCACACTGTTTATCCATTTAATCACTGATATACTGTAAATAATGCTGCTGTAAGCATTGGGGTACAAATATCTTTTTAAACCCCTGCTTATAATTCTTTTGGGGATGTACGCAGAAGTAAAAGTGCTGGATCATATAGTAATTGTTTTAATTTTTGGAGGAAACACCATAATTTTCCACTGTGACTATACCATTCTACATTTCCACTGCAAAGGGTTCCAATTTCTTCACAACCTCAGCAGCACTTACTGTTTTCTGTTTTTATTGTTTTGGTAACAGCCATCCTAATGGATGTAAAGAGGTGTCTCATTGTGATTCTGATTTGCATTTCCCTATTGATTAGTAAAGCTGAGTTACTTATCATGTGCGTATTGGCCATCTGTATATCTTCTTTGGAGAAATATCTACGATATCCTTTGCTCACTTAATTGGGTTGTTTTTCTGGTACTGAGCTAGTCTATTTTTAAAACATCAATAAGAGAGAAAAGGGAAAGAGTGAAGCTAGAAGGGAAAGCAGGATTGAGGAAGACTTATTTTCAGCAGTGGAGAGTATAAAGACGAGAGAGAGAAGCATAACTGACGGAACAAAGTTCCTGACTATGCAAGCAAGGTTATAGCTAATACAATTCACACACTTCTTTCTTTGATGTGGACAGAAAATATAAAGACTCATAAAGATACAAATAAGTTTAAAGGTACATTGAAAGTGTATAATATTACAGGTGTTTTTGCCTAATGACCTCAATTGTTCTCCAGACTTAGGAGGCTGTCTTAAGCTGAGCTTTAAAGAGGACAGAAGTGTAACAAATATTTGGAACAGCTGCTATGGAAAACTGAAGAACCTAACTAGATATATCCACAGCATTTAACCCAGATGAATCTGTCACTCTCTTCATTGTTGTTATTATTGTTAGTGTTACCATCATCATAGTTCCAATGTATGACTTGCAAAAGAAAGACTAAGAGACTTGCCCCAAACCAAGCAGTCACTAAATGGTGTTTGGATTCTATCCCAGTACACTGTATGTATTACATTATGCTGCTTCTTAAGAAATGCTGCAATGAACATAATGGTTTTAAACATAAATCTTTCTGTCATAATTGAGTCCCTTCTTCTGAATAAAATCCTAGAGGTGCAATTACTATTATTATTTATAAATTCACACAAACAAACGACTTTTAAGAAAGACTGCATTAACTTATATTCCCATCAGCAATTTATGAGCATGTCCATCTCACTACATCCTCACAAACATCAGCTCCTCTCACCTGTTAAATGTTTAGACATTTGGTGAAAACTGGTACCTGTTTTTATTTTAGAATACTTAATGACTAGTAAGGCTCACACCTTTCATTTCTGAAAGAGAAATTTAATCTATCAGAAACTCTGATGACAAATTTATAGGTGGACAACATTTTTCACTCTTACATAAAGCTGATGAAATAGTATTGAAATATTGATCAGTATTTTCAAACAGCTTCACAGTTTCATTTATTTCTTCAAAAGTGACATTTTTGAAGTGGCCATCAGAAGTTATAATATGATAGCTAAGATTAATCTATATCAATTTAAAACAATATCCCAATTGACATTAAAAGAATAGCACATGGTAGTTTAATTTTAATTATCTGCCTTATAATTTGAATGAAAATAAGTGAACAGTAATATTATTTTTCACTAGACTTCAGCTTTAAAGATACTATAATTAGGGAAAGCTTTAACAGTTTAAAGCAATCTCAAACCCTAGACAAGGGAGTGATATTATCAATACCCGGAAACCCATCAAAAGGATTCAGCAACCTTTTGATGAGTTTCCAGGTATTGATAATTCAATAGGCACATTTTTAAAATGGTGTCAGAGATTTTCCACTTAACAGACATTTCAGTCAACTTTTAGCCATACAAAGGTATGTCTTAGTGGAATAGAAAAACATTAAAAATCTAAAATAACAACAGTAAAACAATATAAAGAGTTATCATAAAAAAGGACAGAACCGAAAATGGTGGAAATCCATGTGAACAGCTGGAAATGCAGAGTCTAAAACATCTCAGAATGTAGAGAAGTGAGTAGAGTATCTGTTATAGCCAAAACCGGTTTGGCTCAGTGGTAGAGCGTTGGTCTGCGGACTGAAAGGTCCCAGGTTCGATTCTGGTCAAGGGCATGTACAGTGGTTACGGGCAGATCCCTGGTAGGGGGTGTGCAAGAGGCAGCTGGTCGATGTTTCTCTCTCATCAACGTTTCTAGCTCTCTATCTCTCTCCCTTCCTCTCTGTAAAAAAATCAATAAAATATATATTTTTTTAAAAAAGAGTATCTGTTATAAAGGGTCCTGACTAGGATAGTTTAACTTAAAATAAGGTGACTAGATGTCCCACTTTTGGCGGGACAGGCGCAATTTTTAACAATTTGACCTGCGGCGTTTTTAAAAAGTCCCGATTTTTGGAAAGATTCTTTGTTAAATAGAAATGATACTTCAAATTTTTAAAGTTGATCTTTTCCCAGTCTAGCAATATGTGGTACAATACTCTCATGCTGCTGGGCAGCAGTAGCGAGATGATTTTGCCCAAATGTAGACTAATGTAAGTGTTCTTAGCATGTTTATGGTAGGTGAGGCTAGGCTATGATATCTGGTAGTTTATTGTATACTGTAAATATAATTTTATTTATTTATAGTTTGGATTCCATTAAATGCATTTAGATTTAACAATATTTTCAACTTACGATGGGTTTCTTGGGACCTAATACCACTGTAAGTCAAGAAACGTGTGTATACTTATTTTTAAATGTCACAATTATAATATTAAGAGACTGGACTATACAAACAAAGGCTCTGTGGACACATACTACATACAGTCACCTTCAGTGGTTCTCAGTGTGAGGCAATACTGCCCTCCATAGGAGGGAGGAGATCAAAAAAGGTAAGGTATTATGTGGTGCCACAATGACTAAGGACTGCCAATGGCAGCCAGTGTTTGGGAGGACCAGAGATGCCAAATCTCCTATAATACACTGACCAGTCTTGCACAGTAACTGAACTGCTTCACTCAAATGCCAAGAATACCCCCAAAGAAAATAATGGACATACCAGGAAACTATATGGACCAGATTTACTAGAAAAAAAATTATCTCTGGGACTAATAAGGTATAACCAAGCATAAATGAAACTACACTTTGCAAGATAACCTTCTGTGATTGAAGCTAGCATCTGACAGGACACTCTCCAGTATTTCTCTCCAGTAAACTAAATCTTTAATGGATACATAACACTAACAGTGTTTTTTGAGCAGCTTGTCTGAATGAAAGAGAATAGTAAGTTTACACTGGGTCAACCCAATACACATTATTGTATTAAGAAAAAAATGTTGACGAAACCGGTTTGGCTCAGTGGATAGAGCGTCAGCCTGTGGACTGAAAGGTCCCAGGTTCGATTCCGGTCAAGGGCATGTACCTTGGTTGTGGGCACACCCCCACTAGGGGGTGTGCAAGAGGCAGCTGATTGATGTTTCTCTCTCATCGATGTTTCTAATTCTCTATCCCTCTCTCTTCCTCTCTGTAAAAAATCAATAAAATATATTTTTAAAAAAGAAAAGGATGTTGTCACCTACTACTCATATAAAATATTAAAAGATTGCAAGAAACCATGTGATTAAAATAGAAGAATAACCAGAGAAAGCCTGGGATATGGGGATATGGATAAAAACAGTGAAAAAAAAAGTGGATAATAAATATCTGTCAAGGCACAGAGTAGTTATTGATATACTAGAGGCCTGGTGCAGGAAATTTGTGCAAGGGTAGGGTCCCTAGGGCTGGCTGGTGATCAGGGCCGATCTGTGGGGCCTCTGCTCGCACCTGCCTTAGCCTGGTGCTGCCCGCTCACCTGCTCCAACTATCCGGCATGATCCCATTCTCATCGGGGCCCATCAGGGCGGAGAGCAGCTCCACTGCTACCAGCTGTGCTGCCATCGCCCGCTATGTCCCACACAACCTCCTCGTGGTCCGGGCATGTCTAACTCCTGGTTGGTCGAACTCTCACCCATGGGGACAATTTGCATATTTGCCTTTTATTATATAAGATAACACTTCAGTAAGTTGAAGTTGTTTAGAGCATACATAGGTTTATAGTTGTTGTTGTTTTTTCTATATTTTTTGAAATATTATGTACTCTTTAAGTTTCTACACAGTGATTACTTAGACTTCTCTTCTCCATCAACCTGGGAATTTTACTACCATCTCACCTTGATGAATCAATCTCTTGCGTCCTGGATAATATGATTTCAGGTTTCTTTTATTCAAAAAATCATAGTCCAGAAATTTCTTGAGAAAGGATGAATGAGAAAAACTATTTACTGAGAACTCAATATTTCTTGCATCATGATATCTGAAGGATAATTTAGCAATTAATAAAATCTTAAATTAGAAATTAATTTAATTAATTATAAGTAGTCATCACTCCACTGCTTTCTTGTTTTAAATACTGCTGTTGAGAAGTTATAGTCAATTTGCATTGGTCCCTTATCAGAGGTATTTGCAAGTATCTTCTCATTTGGTTGGTGGCCTTTTTGTTTTGTTAATGGTTTATTTTGCTGTGCAGTGCTTTATAGTTTAACTAGAGGCCCAGTGCATGGAATTCATGCAAAAGGGTGTGTGCCCCTCAGCCCAGTCTGCACCCTCTCCAATATGGGACCCCTCAAGGGATGTCTGACAGCCCATTTAGGCCTGATCCTACCAGTATCCTAAATGGGCAGTTGGACATCCCTCTCACAATCCAGGACTGCTAGCTCCCAACTGCTCGCCTGCCTGCTTTCCTGATTGCCCCTAACCACTTGTGCCTGTCAGCCTGATCACTCCCTAACCACTCTTCTGCCAGCCTAATTGATGCCTAACTTCTCCCCTGCCAGCCTGTTTGCCCCTAACTGACTTGACCTGCATGCCTGGTCATCCCCAACTGTCCTTTCTGCAGGCCCAGTCACCACCAATTTCCCTCCTCTACTGGGTTAGTTTCTCCCAGCTGCCCTCCCCTGTTGGCCTGATCACCCACAACTGCCCTCCCTTGCAGGTCCGGTCCCTCCCAACTGCTCTCCCCTGAGGCCATCTTGTGGCAGCCATTTTGTGTCCACCTGGGGCAGCCATCTTTATGTATCTTCTATAATTGAAACGTTGTAGCCTGGAGTGAAGGCCTGAGCCAGCCAGGGCTGCAGAAGCTTGGCTTCCTCCATTGCCCGGGGCAACCCTAGCCTCCTGCTCTTCCAGCTGCGTGACTGACACCATTTCTGTTGGAATTTATTTACCTTCTATAATTGAAACTTTGTAGCCTTGAGTGGAGGCCTGGCCCCACCAGGGTGTGTGGAAAACTTGGCTTCCTCCATTGCCAGGGAAACCCAAGCCTCCTTCCTGCTCTCTGTGGCTGCAGTCATCTTTGTTGGGGTTAATTTGCATTCTTACTCTGATTGGCTGGTGAGCATGGCTGGTGGGCATGGCTTGTGGATGTAGCACAGTGATGATTAATTTGCATATTACTCTTTTATTAGATAGGATAGCCTCCCTTCATTTTTTTCTGTCCTCTTTTTCCAGTATTTTTGTTAGTCAAATGCTGAATTTCATCAATTATTATCTTAAACTGTGAAGGATCTGAAATACTATCTTGCTTCCAAATTAACAAGTTGTCCTGGAAGTTTCATAGGTAAAGGCAGAACACATGAGACTCCTGGTTTAGAGACAAAGAACTGTATGTACTACACATGGCAGCCTGAGCTTCACATCTGCTAGTTCTCCTTGCCCTCCAAGTCTCATGGGGACAATGTAGTGGCAGGATTAGGTGGACGCTATGCATACAATAAGTTTTTGTAACAGCCAAGAATCCCCAGATTAGGAAATGCTAAATATTTTATAAGGGGCCACAAAAAATCTATCTAATCTTTGCCCTGGAGGAAGACATTATCTTTACTAGAGGCCCATTGCATGAAATTCATGAATTGGGGTGGGGGTGGGAGGGTGGGGGAAGGGGAGTCACTCAGCCCAGTCTGCACCCTCTGGAAATCTGGGACATCACTCTCACAATCCAGGATCACTGGCTCCTAACCACTCACCTACCTGTCTGATTACTCCTTACCCCTCTGCCTGCCTGCCTCATCACCCCTAACTGCTCACCTGCTTGCCTGCCTGATCATCCTTAACCACTCTGCCTGCCTGCCTCATCACCCCTAACTGCTCACCCTGCCTGACTGTCCCTAACCACCTCTGCCTTGGCCCCTGCCACGCAGCTTTATCCAGAAGAATGTCTAGAATAACATCCAGGAAGTTGTTCATCTGTTCAGTCTAATTAGTATATTACACTTTTTTATTATAGATTATACTACACAGTAAGCAAATATGCCTTTTGTTCCTGGGGGAGTCACTATTTCCAGATTCTAAGACTGTTCAGTGTACAAACATCTTCGACAAGATAATCCAGAAGAAACACCTGTCAGTGACTCTGTCATAAGATATGACTTTATAATTACAAGAGGCTCTAACAACAGGTATTCCTCTAATTTTCCTTCTCTTTATCTTTTTGTCCCACCTTTTGAGATATTTCCTCAACTTTATCTTCAAAACTTTCTACTGAAATTTTTATTTCTACTTTCATAGCTTTAATTTCTAAGAGCTATTCCTTGTTTTCTGAATATTCTTTTTTTTGTATAGTATCCTGTTTCATAAATAAAATATCTTCTCATCTCTTTCATAAGTGGTGGTGGCAATGGTGGTGATGATGATGATGATGACTTCTTCAGTGACTGGCATTATCTGTATTTGCTAATTTGCAAATTTTCATTTGCTTATTTTGATCTTTGTCTTTCATAATGAAGATATTCCCTAAAAGTCTGATGATTCTTGGTTGTATTTTCATAGTTAAAAGAAAATTAAAACACTGGTCAGAAGATTTTTATGTATTATTAGCAGCACTTGTCAATTACTGGGCTTCTAGTGGGGCAAACAGACTGAGACATGGTTATTAAACTGGGATTATACAAATGTCAAAATGTGCACTACTTTCTATTAGGCTAATATTTCTAGGGAGGATTAGTGTCTGCCTGAGATACCTAGTGCCTGCTTCTCCAGGATTCTGCAGTAAAAATTGGCTCATTCTTACAGGTCTCCCCCATGATGGAAGTTAGGGTTCAGCTCTTTCATTCGAAGTTGGTTACCATTTGTTCAACTATTTTTCTTCTAATTTTTGTTGCTTCTCATCTGCTATTCTCTCCTCTTCCATTTTCTTTGTCTTTTGGGGTTTATGTATTTTTATGTCTTCATGGTCATTTTATTGGGGATTTTCAGGAAGGAGAATACACGTGTGTATTCATTTAGCCATGTTAATATATTTTCATACTTATTTATATCTTTTTATACTTTGTTACAAATTTCCATATTGTCTTTAATTTGTATAATTTACACTCCTCTCTAATAGAATGTGCACTTCGTCATTACTGAGTATTATCATTTTTCATATCTTTGCTAATCAAGGAGATTTTTTCAAATGGTACTTTATGATTAAAATAAACAATTCTTAGCTTATTAATGAATATTAACATGTTTTTAACAGTTTATTAGAAATATTTATTTTAACTTTTAAGGCGTATGTAAATTCTTTGATCCTTCCCATTAGGGTGTTAGGTTTTCTCCTTATCATTCTCTGAAATGATATTGTGAGAAAACCAGTATTCCACTTTCACATTTGCCTTTTTATTTTGCTGCATAGAAGCTTTACATTTTTTACAAAGTCAAATATATCCATTTTCCTTTGTAGTTTCTGTTATTATTTTCATGGTTAGAATGTCCTTATACACATATATTTATCAATATACTTTTCTAATTATTTTGGTATTTTCCATATTTTGTATTGATCTACAATCCACTTAGACAGTTTTTATGTGTTATAAAGCAAGAATTTAATCTTTTATTCCAAAATACTCAATCAATTGTTCCAACATCATTTAATGAATATTCCTTAATTTCTCACTGATCTGTAATGTGATCTTTATCACTGATATAATCCACACACATACTGGGGTTTCTAGGTTAGCTAAGTGATCTGTATCACTTAGGGACATTCACATTGTTTCCAATTTGCTGTGGTCACAAGTAAGGCTGATATGAATATCATTGTATTACAATTCTTATATATTAATTCTTTTATTTATATGTTAGTGGTATATGCTAGATACTCATGAATGGAATCACTGTATTGAAGAATATATATATATATGGAAGAATATATATATTGAAAAATACGTTGCAAGATGGCTTCTAAGAATGTAAAAATAATCTAGATATTTTCCCAGGTATACAAGATTCTTATTCCTAGCATCTCTGCCAGAAATGGATGATTTTTAACTTTAAAATACCTTTATTGAAATATAATTCACATACCTTAAGTTCACCCTTTAAGTGTACAACTCAAAGGTTTTAGCATATTCACCAAGCTATGCAATGATAATCATTATCTAGGTTTAGAACATTTTTATCACTCAAAAAAAAAAAAAAAATAGAAAGTCTGTATCCATTTAGAAGTCAGTCATTTTTTCCTAACATTAAACAGACACACACACACACACACACACACACACACACACAACTTGTTTCCTTCTAACTACAATCAATAATTTGGGAAAATTTATACTTTTGTATTAAGTTCCCCATATCATCAAATAATTTAGTATACCTTTCTGTTTATGAAACATATTATGTTCCCATGATTATTACATATGTCCTTTGATTAACTTATCAAATTTACTCCTAAGTATTTTATTGTTCTTTTCATTGTTGTGAAAGAAAATGTTTCCCATTTTCATTCTGTGTGGAATGAAAGAGAAGCTATTAGTTTTATTATCTTGTATCTGGCTACCTGATTAATTCTATTGTTTATAACTTGATTCTCATGGGTTTCCTAGATGTACAATCTTATTTGCTAGGACCCCTAAAAAATAGTTAGGCAATATAAAATAGCAATAAGAAGGATCTTGTCTAACTCCTGCTAATAAAATGCAATCTGAGTAACATACACAAGATATTAATTACTCGTGACTAAGACCCATTTCTCCTCTATTTCTTTTTTTTATTACTTTAATGGTTAAGGTATCACATATTTGTCCTCATCCCCCCAATTCCCATCCCATACCCCACCCCCCTGCTGTCCGTGACTCATATACTGTATATTAGGCTCATATGCACAAGTCCTTTGGTTGATCTCTCTCCCCTATCTCCACCCTCCCCTTCCTTCCTTCTGAGGTCAAACAGTCTGATCGATGCTGTTCTTGTTCATCAGTCTATGTTGTTCATCATTTCCCCTAGATGAGTGAGCTCATGTGATATTAGAAATACATTTATAAGAACCTCACATTACAGCCTTCACTCCTGCTCCTCCTTTCTAGCAGCTTCTAAACTGCTACTAATGAAAGGCCCTGATTCTGGCTCCTGGGTAGTAGAGAAAAGAAGTGCTCCTGACTCTCAGGATACCATTAAAAATACCTATCAATCCATTCAGATGCACGCATACATGGTACAAGGCAAGATGCTGAAAAGAATATCAAGAATGTCCAGAATGACAGTCAAATAGGAGATAGAAAATGTGAATAAATAACATTACTTCAAATAGAAATGACACATGTGCTCCAAAATATAAATAGATAAATCATGTGACAAGATTAGAGGAAAATAGTTACTGTAGTATAAAAATAGTTTCAAGTAGAGGTTAGATATATGCTATAATAATACTATAATTTACATATGTTACAGATTAAAAAGCTTTTGTGGGGTTGGCTGAATCTTATATCACATCCATTTAGGGGGGAAAGTTGCTGTCAAATAATCCACTTATAAGCGAATTTCCAGCAACATAATTCATGTTTCTTAACAATAGACAATGGTAACAGTCCCAAAGTTGTAGTACTGACTGTAAAGGGAAGTAGCAAGAGGAATAGATAAGAGTCTGGTTTAACAATGACCTTTCCTGATTACTCCTTGAGAACAGAAGTAATTTTATTCAATAAAAATAAAAGAAAATGAATCCCTATCATGCAAATTTCATAAAAATCAGAATATTTTATTAATTCAAGCACTATAGAATTATAACTATTATGTTCATAATTCAGTGCTTAAATTAATACAACTTTTTATACTGCAAAAATATGATAAAAGTTCTCATCAGGGTCAAGAATTTTCATCTTTGAACATACAGTCTATAACAGCAAAATGCAGTTGTTACATAAACCATAGTTTATTGGATCTTCCCTGCTATAAAAAAATGACTGACATTTCATTTATCAACCATCTTAAAGGTTAATTCTTGCTTCCTGTTTCAGATTTTATTGTAGGTGAACTGATCTAGGCAGCATCTATTTACGTATTCTGAGCAAACCACAATCTGTTTCATTGCTCACTCTTACAGTTAAGAATATATTGACTTGCTCCTGCTCTGCTCTTTAATTCATTTATGCTGCGAGTCAGGCATGAAGACAGAATTTTAAATGTGACATTTGCAGGCTGTTAGGTCACTTAGGCTCTGACAACTCTAGGGAATTCCTGACATATAAACAGGACCTGATTACCAAGTACAGGTATGCTTCCCCAAAGGGGCAAATTTCTGACCATTTTTTATAATGTCTCACAGAATTTTAATATTAAATTTTAATGTCAATGCAAAGATCTCTATAGCCAACATTTTAAAGTAAAAGTCTGTTTCTTTTAAAAGTTCAAATTGGCACATCTTCTAATCAACCTATATCAGCTAAATAGAAACTCTTAGTTTAACAAAGACATTTAGAAAGACTTATAATAATAATATTCATTAAAATTCTAAAAATTTCTGACCTCCAAGGGCTTTTAATATTTTCTATTACCTATAGATTCTGAAAATTCTGATAATTCTAAAGGCCATAACTCTTGTCACCAGATCGTTTCAAATTGTTATATTCTAGCCCAGCAAGGCAGACTTTAAATGCTGTCAAAATCACAATACAAAATGTAAGTTTAAATACTTATCACACTGCCTTTTCTAAAATTACAGCTATGGAGAAGAGATGAGAGTCATTATAATTAGAAATGAAAAAACTGCCCACATGACATCTAAAATTACACTTCCCAAGAGTTGATAATAGAGTGGTATAGAAAAACTAGAGAAGTACTGTTTTCTCATTTTAGCTAGTCAAAAAAATTACACCAAATTATATTTTTTCAACTCTTTTCCCTTGTCAGTAAGTAATAAGTACTATATACAATGGTTCAAATGAAAGTTTACTGAAATTAAGTCTTATTGTTAAGTAATGCACAAAGATAATCCTGATTTTACCTTGTATTTTATATAAGAAAGAATTCTACTGTTACACAGCAAGCAGACATTTAATATTGTGCTTTGAAAAAGACTCCCAACTGTAATAGGTAGAGTCTAAACAGGGATAGACGGCCTGGAATGCCTTCAGCAATAGCACACTGATTCTGAAAAACCTAACAAAAGTAATTACTTTTCAGAGATTAAAAAACTGTTTCTTTAAAAAGAATAAAGTGGAAGCAAACCTGGTGTATTATCTGAGCTACAGGAAGTTGTTCAGCATATTTCAGGGATTCTATTAGTTCCTCATCCATCCAGTCTTCCTTATCTCTGGGGGAAAAAAGAAATTAAAAGACACAAAGTGAAGGTAATACTACTTTTAAATATGTCAAATATAAAATATATTAGAATACACAGTTAATATTTTTGAAATAGTATTTCTCAAAAATCTAGGAAAAACCACCTAATGGGAATTTTTAAATTATACAACTATAAATGCATTCACATTGCATTTAATTACTATGTAATAAGAGTAGCTAACATCACCTAATAGTCTTAGATACTGTCTTTCACTCTAAGACCTAAAAATATCTAAGAACTCTCTGTTTGTAGGGTGTGCTTGTTATCATAGTAAAGGCCTTCAAAAGCTATGTTTCAGTCATGCTCAAGCCTCATCACTAGCAACTCCTTCTGTCTGTACAATTCTGCTTTTTCATCCATATCTAACCACAGCTGGCCGCTCACCAATGGGTCTTGCAGTTCCTGGACTCTGATTTTCTCCACTATTTCTCGTTTGGACCAAGACCAATTTCTTCTTTATTTACCCTTCTTTCAAACATAATAATTTATTTAGACCCATCTAGGTATAATTTTTTACAAAAACCATGTCTTATTCTTCTTTGTAGTATATCCAATGTTTACTAAACGATAATCAACAAATATGTGCTGAAGGAAAATATGAATAAAATAATAAAATAAAATAAAATAAAATAAAATAAAAACTCCATGACAGGTTATTTTGTATGGAAATCTTTTATTTCATATCTACATTTATGATAAGATGCAAAGTTGACATAATATATATGCAGTATAAAATAGTAAAGTGGAGAAGAGAAACAAAAACCAAATCTCCCCAAATGAAGACAATTGGAAAAAAAATAGAAAGATATTTTAAAATAATCATTGACCTTTTTCAAAATAGCAAATAAACATATTTCAAAACAATAAGACTTCAACATATTTAAAGTTCCTTTTACCTTTTTCTTCTTTACAAATTACACATCAACTTATCAACTTAAAAATTGGAACCTTGAATTATTTTGAAAAATAATCAAACAAGAGTGGTCCAAATCTCTACAGTTAATGAGAAATCTGGAATATCTCTCAAGAACCCCTATGCTGTACATCTGAAACTAACATATAATTATGTTGAATGTAAACTATAATTAAAAAATAAAATTAAAAAAGACAAATAAGGACAAAATTTTGGATACAGTTTCAGAATTTAAAGTTCTTAACTATGTAAATAATCTGAGTATATGTGGCACAATTAGCATAAAAATAATTAATTTAGTGGAACTTTGAAGAGTCTCACTAATGACAAAAAACTTAATCTCAAAACAATGTTTTATAGAAACAGAAAGAATAATGTCTGCCAGGAGCAAAGGAGGGGAGAATAGGGAGTTATTATTTAACTAGTGGCCCTGTGCACAAATTTGTGCACACTGAGAGAAAATTAATTCAAAGAAATATTTTAATATCACTATTCACCCTTTATAATAAAGTGCCAAACAAATTCACGATCGACAATGGCAGATCCAAACACATGCATGTGATTGCCACCAGTGAGAACTTCATATGTATCACACATGTGCAAGTCAACTTAGCTTTTTATAGATATAGAGTAAACTTGCTTAATTAGACCTGCTTTCTGATTTAGCTAAACTTTTTCCAGCCCAGTGAAGCACCCCAATTTCTCTTTCAGGTAGCTGTCAGCAACACAGCAAATATCAACACAAAGCAAATTATTATTGTAGATCACACAGGGAGAACTAAGGGTAAAATATTTAACTGCAGTAGTGTTTGACTATATTCTGCACAGTGAGAAAACCTGAAGTCATTTTCAAGGTCCACCATTACTTACTTCTTTTTAGTTGGGTCAAGTTTCTAGGCTTTCTAATGAAAAGAAAATAGTATTCCACCGACTTTCCTATCTACCTACTCCAGGACTTCTATGAGGATCTTCGGAAAGCCACTGCTTGCCAATACTGTCTGTGCACCAAGGAACACGGAAGGTCAATGGACCTTGGGCATTAGCAGGGCTTATATAGTGTTGAGATAGTGGTGGCTCAAGGCAATTCCCTAACCTAATAATCGTTTTACTGTTTACCAAGCTTCACCTTTGATATGCCTGTATACATTGCTAGAGGGCAGGACCCAGTTTTGGTGTGTATCCAAGAAATGCCTTATAAATTCATATTTCTTGTATAGTATTTTCATTTGTGCATCGGCCCCTCCTTTAGATCCTGAAGCCTAGCCATGGTCACAGCAAGAAGCAAATGAGATGAGACATGGAAAAAGGCTTCACAGACATTTTGTTAACATGTGAAATGTTTCCACCTAGCTATAAAGCAAGTAGTATTCCTGAGCTGAAGAAACTCCAAGGAGGCTAGACTTTACTAGGGAGAGAAAGCCAGTCATTACTACATGATGTTATTACATGGTGCCCATTACAAAGCGACCATTTCTGGGCTGGGCTGGGCTGTGAGCTGCATTTTGCACCATGGGGTCTTGGCAGCATTGGCTGTGATTTGGTGGGCTGTCACTCTGGGGTGGTGGCAGAGTCTGTGTCCCACTTGGGGGAAGCCAAGTGTAACTTTGTGGGCGCCAGGTCCATGGTGCCATTATTCTGTGCGCGACACAGCAGCTCCTGCATTAAGCATCTGCCCCTTGGTGGTCAGAGCACATCATAGCAACCAATTGAATGGTCAGACACTTAGCATATTATTTATATATATATATATATATATATATATATATATATATATATATATATATATATATATATATAAATATGTGTGTGTGTGTGTGTGTGTGTGTGTGTGTGTTAGGCTAGTGGCCCAGTGCAAGAAATTCATGCATGGGGGGGGGGGGGGGAAGGCTGTGCCTCAGTCCAGCCTGCACCTTTTCCAATCTGGGACTCCTCAGGGGATGTCCAACTGCTGGTTTAGGCCCAATTCCTAAACTGGCTGCCGGACATCCCTCTCACAATCTGGGACCACTGGTTCCTAACCGCTCACCAACCTGCCTGTCTGACCTTCCCTAACTACTCTCTCTGCCAGCCTGATTGCCCCCAACTGCTCCAAACCCCGCTGACCTGCTGGCCCCAACTGCGCCACGGCTGACCTGATTGCCCCCATCTGGCCCCTCTCTGCTGGCCTGATTGCCCCCAACTGCCACTCCCACCCCTGCTAACCTGATCACCCCCAATTGTCCTCCCCTCCTGGCCTGATCACCCCTAACTACCTCTGCCTCGGCCCTGCCACCATGGCTCTGTCCAGAAGGATGTCTGGAAGGTCTCCTGGTCTAATTAGTATATTACTTTTTTATTAGTATAGATGGTTAGAGTTTCAATATTGAAAGATTTAAAAAAGTTCTGGAGATGGATGGTGGTGATTGCTACATAATAATGTTAATGTACATAATGCCACTGAACCATGCACTTAAAATGGTTAGAGTGATAAATTTTGTTATGCATATGTTATAGCTGAATTGTGCCCTCCTCTAAATTGTAGGTTGAAGCCCTAATCTTGATTACCTCAGAATGTTACTATATTGGGAGAAAGGGTCTTTAAAGAGGTCATTAAGGTTAAAATGAGTCATTATGGTTGGGCCCTAATCCAATATAATAGTGTCTTTATATGAAGAGGAGACTAGAACAGAGACAAGTAAAGACCACATGAAGACACTGGGGTACTAGGCCATCTATAAATCAAGGAGAGGCCTTAGAAGAAACCAGTCCTGCCAACACCTTGATCATGGACTTCCAGCCTCCAGAATTATGAGAAAATAAAATTCTGTTGGCATGTTAAGCTCCAAGCCTGTTTTATCTTCCTTTCCATTTAGCCCACAATATCTGATTTTACCAATATGCTGGAGATTGGAGACTGACAAGGTCAAAACGGAAGTGGAAAGTATAGTGTCAGTCACTGGTGACTAACATGGCGCTTAACTTGTTATGAAATCCCTAGCAAAGTACTACAGCAAGCATGTCAAACTCGTGGCCCATGGTCCACATGTAGCCTACAATGAATATTTTTGTGGCCTGACAAATATAATGATATGTAAGAAACATTTTAATAAAAATTTCATAACTTAATCCATTATACATAATCTATATATATAAAAACCTAATAGGCTAAGTTTCTGACTGTTCGAACATTTGACCACTAGCTATGACACGCACTGACCAAGTAGGTTAGCTTGCTGCTGGGATCTGGCTGATCAGGACCCAGTGATGCAGGCTAGACATGCCCTGGAATCCTCCTGCAGTCTCTCCTGGGCCCCAATCTTGCACCAGTGAAGTCCTTCAGCCTGGCCTGCACCCTCTCACAATCCAGGACCCTTCGGGGGGTGTCAGAGAGCTGGTTTCCGCCCAATTCTTGCAGGTCAGGCTGAGGGACCCCACCAGTACACAAATCTGTGCACCACATTACTAGTTATTAATGACAAACTATAATATAATATTCGCTAATGACTGATTACCTGCCTTACATTCAGGCGCACCATTTCTTTCTGCTAATACTAGCAGCGAATATTTTAGCAGCCAATTGCCATGTCATTAGTCTTGGACTAACTTGTTTAGTGTGTACAACAGAAATTATTTTGCTTTCAGAGAACAAGAAAAATAGGTTTATTTGCATTACGTTTATTAATTTGTTCAGTTTTTCAGTGTCTGGTAAGTTAATGTTCAAGAAAAAATATTAATTTTTATTTAAATAAAACATAAAATTTATGTTAAAAATTACTAATTTATTTCAGCCCTTTGTATTCAGCATGTCTCTACCGAAATAAACTATGTTTTTATAAAAATTGAAGCTTTTGTTCTTTTGCAGCCCACATAAACTTAAACCTTGTTTATCTGGCCGGTGTTAGCCTTTGAGTTTGACATGCTTATACTACAGTATAGTATATTTTACCACAATAAAATAAAATATTCATTGACAAAAGTAAACATTATTTTAAAACATTTCACAATATATATTTTAAAAGTCTATCTACATTTTTAGGTATATAAAACACATACCAAGCAACAAATGGAAAATAGATATATTGAGTATCATCAAAATTTGAAAGTTGTATGTTTCAAAGGACACTAACAAGAAAGAAAAAACAACAACAAAAACAGAGAGAAATTTTTTGCAAATCATATATCTGAAAAAGGATCTGTACCAAGCACATATTGTATAACTATTATAACTGCATAATAAAAAGCTAAATAATCCAATTATAATTTTTTCCATCCTCAAAAAGGATATTTCTTTTTTTTCCAATATATTTTTATTGATTTCAGAGAGGAAAGGAGAGGGAGAGAGAACAGAACATCAAAGATGAGAATGAATCATCAGCTGCCTCCTGAACACCCCTTACTGGGGATCGAGCCCGCAAACCCAAGCATATGCCCTTGACCGGAATCAAACCTGTGACCCTTCAGTCCACAGATCTATGCTCCATCCACTGAGCCAAGCAGGCTAGGGCCCTCATGAAGGATAGTTCTAAGTGAAAGTGACATATTTGCTTGTTTCCTTTTTACTGTGTGGCTGAGATGGAGAAGAATACAATGACTAGCCAGTACAGTTTGGTGCCAGTGCCTTGATTCCTGGTAAGGCACCAGCAGCTTCCATATATGTCTGCTAAAAATAAATAAATAAATAAATAAATAAATAAATAAATAAATAATAAATAATTGACGAATTCTAAGAGTACACAGAAGTATGAAAAAGATAGTCTTTGTTGTTTATTCCAAAAATCTAAAGTAATATATATAAGATGAAATACTTTTCACTCACAAAATTCTGTCAAGATAAAATATTTTTTAAATGGACATATGGCAATTTGAATCACATTTTTTAAATGCCAAGTAGCTGTTATGAAACATTCTGAACATGTTCCTATATTTTGTTTGAGGTTGCAAATATGACATAAACACCTAAGTATGCATCAACCAAAGATAAATGTGAAAATTTTCTTGGGAACTGTAGGACATTTTTTTTAATTACACTAAGTAAAATTCACAACTAATCTTGATTATCACTAGACTTGGGAGTTTCTTACTGATTCAATGTTTCACAATAAATTGTTACTCATCTTTAATTTCTTAAAAATGTTTGTCCATCATTTTCTTGCTTTATTTGTTGCTAGAAGTGTGATGCCAAGCTAATTTTCTTTCCATTTTAATTATTTCCATTTTAAAATTTATTTTACATTTTAAAATTAGTTATTACATTTTTGTCTTGGAGACTCAAATGATATTTTTTCCCCTTTTATATTAAGGCCTAATGCTAAGATATAGGATATAGCTAAAAGTTAGTTGTCCTTGAACAATTCTCCCAAACACATAGGAGTCTTTTAAAATGGAAATTCAGATCTCCTTCTATTTCTAACAAGTTTTTTCATTATAATTTGAAATATGTTTTTGCACATTTTTCATTTGTTCTTCTAGTTCATTCTCAAAATAAATATATTGAATTTTCTCTATCACTTTCTCTCTGGTCCTTTTATCTCTCTTATTTCAGTTTCATTTTCTTGACTCTTTCATTTCTATTCTTTATGTCTTTTACTGAACTCTGGTAATATCTATCATCCCTCAGGTACCTTGTAATTTAGTTTTCATTTCTAAAATGATTTTTGTCTTTTTTCATCAATTTCTTTCTAGAGTTCAGTCAGCACCTGTTTCATACATCTTCCTGTTTATCCATTTCAATAGTGAGTATTGGAGTGTCTGATTTATGGTGTCATTTCATAATGCAATTGCTAGGTTATTCATGTTGTATTTCTGTTTTCCTATTTTATGGAGTTTCTCTCTCTCTCTCTCTCTCTCTCTCTCTCTCTCTCTCTCTCTCTCCTCTCTCTCTCTCTCTCTCTCTCTCTCTCTCTCTCTCTCTCTCTCTCTCTCTCTCTCTCTCTCTCTCTCTCTCTCTCTCTCTCTCTCTCTCTCTCTCTCTCTCCAGATGCTTCCTTCTTTCTCTGTTGAAAATTATTTGTGATTTTTTTACCAGGACCAGCAATAGCAACTTATCTCATGATGGCGGAAAGAAGGGAGATAAGTTGGCTCGTTAGGTTTCTCAGTTCAAGAGTACCCTCCTTGCCCTAGACAACGGGGGTCAGTGGTTAGAGTTTCAGCCCAGGCACTAAAGGGTCTCAGGTTCAATTCCCAGTCAAGGGCACATACCTGGGTTGCAGGTTTGCTCCCACCCCTAATTGGGTCATGTGTAGGAGGAAACCAATTAATGTGTCTCTCTCACATTGATATTTCTCTCTCCCTCTCTCATCTTCTCCGCCACCCTTCCATTCTCTCTGAAAAAGTAATGGGGAAAAAATATCCTCAGGTGAGGATTAACAAACAAAGAACAGTATCCTCCTCTGTGATAATACTAGAGTGCAATTTCATTAATAAATGCTATTTTTTGTGATGGTGGTGGGAACAATTCGCTTTTTTTCTTTCTTTCTTTCTTTTTTTTGGGGGGGGGGGTCATTTTATATTACTTTCTTTTAACTCAACTTCGGCTGCTTCTCTCTTTCCCTTCTCCACTGGGCCTCTAAGGGCAAACCACTGCCTCTGAAAGGTACCTTCCATTCTCTCAGAATGAGTGCTTTCCCAAGACTGTCACCTAAGGTCGCCCACACTTTCTAAGCCCCATCTCTCAAGTCCTCAAGCCAGGTCTCTGATCAAGTAACCCAATGCTTATAGTATAATTCATAAACTGTGAAAGCTACAAATGTCAATTTCAATTTACATATGGCTGCCATCCTTGGGTAACCTGAATTTTCTCTCACAAAATGGTAGTTTTCTTTCTTAAAGCCATTCATTATTGCTTTCATTTAACAATTTTAGTGCCTCTTAAAAAGGAAAAACTTTTTGTATTGTTTCTTTTCAAGATCCTTCACTAAGAAGATATACTTAAAACATTTAATAAGGAACCAATTTCTGCATGGAAAAAGCTGAGTACCCTTTTTTGTATTTCGCTACTTTTAACTGTGTTTTTGTATGAAACAACAATAAATGAAATTTATTTATACTATGAAAGGATTTTCAATTTAAATAGTGATGCTACCACCTCAAGTCAAAATGCAATAGAAATATTGTCAAAAATCCTCTGCATAAGTAAAATATTGCCGGCAAAATTCTGAAACCTAAGAAGTTAGTATTGACAAGCCCTCATCTCTTCTGTGTTCTTTTACTTTTATAAATGCCTGATGTCCTCAAAACTCTTCCTCCAGTGCTATGTAAGCACTCATGAAATTACTTACTGTGCCCATATCTCAGGCCATCTCTGATTCAGAAGCAGGTGAACTTTTTATTCTACCTTGCGACAGTGATATTACATTATGTGTAAAATGACATAGCTTACTGTGTGCAGAAGGCCAAAGCATCTTTTCAAACACTAAAATACACACCCCAAAAAAGAAGAGAAAAACAGAGACACTATGCAGTGCCAACTACAAACTAAAAATTAAGATCAATAAAGTCAAGACACATAATTTAGGGTAGTCCAAAATCATCAAGAAATTGTTTAAATGTATCAAAAACAAACACAGGAAGCTAGCCAAAGTTAGTACCAAGCAACAAAACTCACAAGCAACAAAACTCAAAAGAATTATTTAAAACTACATAGAGAAACCAAATTAATTTCATTTGATCTTGTTGGGGGTGGGGGTACAGGATAGAAAAATCCCCACTCCTACATGACATTTTTAAAAAATGTCTAAGCATTCATGTAAGTGACAACACGTATTGTTGTACAAGATATCTTGACAAACCTGGGACCCTGTGACATTCTTGAAAGTTTAAAGACACTCTAAGGAAGAAGAGAATTCAATTTTATTGGTCAATAGAGACAAACAAAATGCTCTTACAATTCCAGACAGGTCCCAGA